ACTGGGTCGGCGGAAGGGAAGGCCGAGCGGGGCGGCGCAGACGAGGTCGCATCCAGCGCAGCTGCCACCCCGTCGTCCCAGACAAGGGTTGTCCACCCGCGCCTTACAAGCCTGCCCCAGCGCTTCGCCACCCTCCTCGGGAGACCGCCCTTCCCCGGCTCCAGCCCCGGCTGTCCCGTCGCCTGCCCCCGCCGAGACCAGCCCAGCCCAGCTCCGGCCTAAGGCCTGCGTCCGCGTGCGGAGGGAGGGAGGGGTCGCGCCATCCTGTTGTACGCTGTGATTGCGGCATTGCAGCCGGCCCCCATTACAGACCGCTGTTACGAGTCCACGCTCCTTTCCGTGAGAAATCCAAGAGAAGCGAAAGAAGGGATAACGGACTAGCTAGTAGAAATCCAGTAGAAGGATATATAGTTAAACCGTGTTTTCCCCGTTGTGCTGCCAGTGATGCCGATCACCAGAAAGCGGACTGGGACAGCATCCACGAGAAGATCTGCCCGCTGCTGACTCCAGTGCGCACGTCAGTTCCGTTTTTCAGCTCTGAAAAAGAAAGGAAGCACGGCGCGGAGCAGCTGCTGCGCCGGCAGGTACGCGCGCGAAAGCGAACGTCGCCTGGCAATCATCCGTACAAATTACTAGACTGCTGCCCTTATGTTTTGGTGCATTTGGGGCTTGGAAAAGGAGCCAGTTGATCAATAAGACTTTCTTAATTTAATTTTTGCTGTCATGTGATTGAAGCATCCAAGTGCCTTACCAAAATGTAACAGCAGCATTACAACATGGAGAAGTCAAACCACGTTCCCCAAAAGAGATCTTGTTACTAATGACAAGTCAACCAGAAGAAAAGAGCCTCGGTCTGCCCGCTGCTTCGAGCCATAACATCAAACAGCAATACATAAAACGATTCAGATATGAAATAAAAAGAACAAGAAAGCTGCCTTGAGGAATTTCAGTGATGTGCTGCATACGGTAGCTGTTTTTATGTCTGCTTATGGGGCAGTCACTAGTATCTCGGTGGCTGCCCCATTAAATAATCCTTGCTTATACCCCGAGGGGAGACTTCTAAGTGGTGTGCAATGTCCGATGGGGGGAAAAAAAGAGTACTGCTCTTTCAGGTTATGACCAAAATTTTGAAAACTCACGAGAGAGTTAGTTGTCTAACTCTTAATGGAAATTGAACTCCTAACTGTGTTAGTCTGCCGTGAACATCTTAACCTGAATCTAGTCCGGATGGTCACTGTTTTGCTCTTTGTTTCATTTTCAAAGGTCACTGCAAAGAAAGGGTCCTGTAGTCGTGCATTCCACGTGTCGCGGGGTCAGGGGTCACTGTAACAAAGGCTGCGTGTGTATTACATACATAAGTGGGAGCGACTCAAATTCTGAATATTTGGAGATTGAAATGGCAGCCTTTTCACACGCATTAAATTGTGTGCGCTTCAGTCCTTATTACTAAGGAAGTCCTTCTACCCCTACCTTAATAAGCTGTAAGCGTCAGTCCCTCCATTTCGGGATGAGATAATGGAGGATCTGACAGCGAGTAATGGAAACCTGTGAAGGGCCCAAATTTCATCCATTAGTTATTGACAATACTAAAACTAAAAACACTGTTGAAAGTCTATGTAGCAACATATTGTAAGAGACAGAGTGATAAGTGTTTCCATGTGAAGAGAATATTTTCATTCATCCTGTGCTCACTTGCATCTATTACTTATTGTTCCCCGTAGAAGTACATAGCTGACCTTACTTATGAAGTGGCCCAGAAGTTTCTATATGAAGGAAAACACGAAGAAGCAATTCCTGCCGCTTTGCATTCACTGCGTTTCAGCATTAGTATTTATGGCTCAAATTCTGTGAAATTAGTGCCTGCTTATCTCATCTTAGCTGAAGCTAGCACTGGTAAGTTTTCTGCTGAAACAAAAAGTATTGATGATAAATATAGAACAGTAAATTTAGAAACAGAAAGTAAGTGAAAACCTGAAAGAGTCTTTGATGGACTTCCACTGAGCTCAGTGTACACACACGTATTCAGTAGAAGTTTTCCTGTATACGTATATTTACAAAGCCAAAGAAATTCTGTGAGGTTGTCAGTTTTACTGACAATCAGTTTTTTTTTCTCCCAATATCTGCCATGACATTCATCAAGAACCTCTTAGATCTGCAGTTCAACACCATCCTGAACCCTCTTCACCTTTAAGGACATTCCCATGAAATACTGAGGAATGAAGCCACAAGCTTATTTTGCGTAGGGACATGGGGAAAGAATTCAGAATTGGTTCAAAAGAAATAAAACTTTTCCATTATTTTCCGATTCCCCGAAAAGAAGCAGGATCAAGAACTATTCTCTTCCTTTTTGGCTTCAGTAAGTTCTGAAGCATAAAGCTCTATAGTATTGACAAAGCGCTCTCAGCATGGCAATTGCCTTCTGAAACAGTTAAGATTGGTTTGGTGTCTTGACCTTTGGGTCACAACTTCCGCTGTTCCACACAGCAAAAACTCCAGGTCAGTCTCATCAACGAGATTCTTTTTTTTTTATGGTCAGGTGTCAGCACTGAAGATAAGTAGCACCCCTGGCCCATGAGTCTGATTTTTTCTGATTGAGAAAGAATTCAGGAGTATTTTGCATGCCTCATCTGGGGATAGCCTAAGAAATAATTTGTGCTACACTCTACACATCCAGACTTTGAAGCTCACAGTTAAAAGGGGCTCTAGAAGTTTGTTTCTCTCTAGTCACAGAAGGCACAGATCAGTGTCATATGTGATGGCTTCATTTGCTTGCATGTTCTAAGGCTTGTGCAAATATTTTGTAGCTTCTGTGAACATTTGTCTTACTCTTCTCCTCTGCATGTAATTTCAGGTCTTGGTCATCTTACCCAAGCAGATGAATACCTCTCTCAGGCTCAGTGGATTGTTCTCAAGACTCCCGACTGCACTAATGCCATTCAGTCTAAATTGCATCGTAACCTGGGTCTTGTCAATGCTGCTAAAGGAGACTTTGAACAATCTTTATATAACGTAGCTAATGATGTAAGACAACTAAAATACAGAACTACTAAAGATTTCTCTCTAGTAATTTTACATAGTCACTGTAACAAAAGTATTAGGAAATCCCATCAGAAAGCTAGATTGCAGATTGCACCTTGTTGTTTCGGGGGTGTTGGTTGTAGCCGTGTTGGTCTAAGGACATAAGCAGACAAGGTGCTTTGGGTAAACGTGGTATCTTTTATTAGACCAACTAAAACGTTGGAAAAATTGTTTTTTGCGCGCGAGCTTTCAGGCACAAACACCCTTCTTCAGGCAGAGGGAGAGCCTACAGTTGTATTGTGCTCTTCTGGATAGGATATGGCTTCTATCCAAGAGAGAGAGCACAGTACAACTGTAGGCTCTCCCTCTGCCTGAAGAAGGGTGTTTGTGCCTGAAAGCTTGCAAAGAACAATTTTTCCAACTATTTAGTTGATCTTATAAAAGATATCACGTTTACCCAAAGAACCTTGTTTGCAGATTGCACCATAGATTTTAGGCACATTGGTGATAAGGGCCTTAGAAAAACCTAGGCTGTTTAGGTACGCATGTTAGACAATGCATGCCAGTACTTATTAAAGCTTGTGTTATAATAATCTACATTTCCCTGTATTATGCATTTCTTCCACATACCCTTTTTGTTTTAGGAGTTTATTAACATTCATCACTTTTTTCTGTTCTCTGTTTTATACCATGTTCTACTATTTGTTTATCAGGAGTATGTTAGAAAATAATTAGACTTCAATGAATTATACTTAGCTAGTTCCATAATGTTTTCCCTTCATTTTTTTTTGCTATGATAATTTATGAGAATAGTCTTGCAACATTTTACTTTTACTACTTGTAGTCAGATTTCATCTCTTCAAGAGTGATTGTTACTGGTATTTAATCTCTCTAAAAGTGAATAAATATACTATCAGTGCTAAGATAAATAAAAAAGCTTAATTACCTAATAATGGCCTTCAGTACTAGGTCAATACAGATGCATACTCCTCCCTCCCTTCCTTCATTCTTCAGAGTAGAGGGGAATCTGACTGTACGACATCGATTTGGAGTATATAGGATCAGATCCAGCTCCCTGCTAAACACTTTAATGAGAGTTGGATCAAGAGTGTACTCTCTTGTCCAAGCTTCCAGTGTTGCAAGGGAGAATGGATATGTACCTAATGCTATGAAAAGCAGAGGTCAGTGCGACCCAGCTGCTCCCAGGAATATGTGAATCTCCTTGAAGGACATCAGTTACTAGGTAACTAAGCACTCTCTCTTTCATCAACCATGTTTTTATTATTTATTTTTGCCAGGATATTGACTGAGATTCTCCTGTGCAGTTCTCTGGTATGCGTGCTGTTTTTATAGGTATAACAGACTACTGCCATTTTAGTTTAGTAACATTTTATACCCACTTTTCATTTTCAACATGGCCAGGAATCAGAATTATTCAGTTATAAGCTTCAGCCATATATTTTTAGTCTGCAGATATATTAGGGAAGATTGTAACCACTTTCTTTTGGCTGCCCTAGTGTTGGGGGCCTGTCTGGGAGTCAGTAAAGGCTTTCTGTTTTCAGCTTAGAGGCTGCTCTAACTTTTACTAGGTAGGAAGCATCCCTTCAGAACCCCTCGCTAGTTTAGTGTAGCTGGAATGCAGCATTTTGTGGCCATGCTCTCTCCCCTCTGATGAGAGATTTCAGCATAGGAACTTAGGAGCTAAATTAGCTGTCTCTAGTCTTGCTTAAGAGTCTTCTTTTCCAGACGTGTTCCTACCTGGGAACATGGCAGAAGTTTTCCCCTCCTGAGTAATTAGATTCTCTTTTATGGCGTTCTCCTCTGGAGTGAAATGTATCATGTACCTAATGATGGGGTTGGGGGTGTAAGAATTAACATAATTTTTTAAAATAAGATTTCTTTTGTTATGAATACTAAGCATATATGATTATGTTTCCTTTGCATTTCAGATTTATTTTGCCAGTTGTGCCTTTGGAACTCATGATACCAGTACATCTGGAGGGTATTTCCACATGGCTAATGTTTTCTTTCGCCAGAACAAAATGGACATTGCAGACTCACTGTACTCTGAGGTTAGATACTTACAAACTCTTTTCAGGTGTTTGCATGTTTCTGACCTCCTGTTAATGTTATGACAGCTCTCAGAAGTGTCAACATTTTTAAAAATATGGCATTAAGGCTATTTGGTCCCCATTTATTTTGGCAAGCCAGCCAAAACCCTGCAGCAGAGATCAGTTTTGCCATACATGCATCTGAACCGTGATTACATTCCAAGGCCCTGGACTATTGAGCTGCGCATCACGAAGAGAGTTAGCATCATGAGAGCTAGTAGGAATGGAATAGTTATGACCCTCCAATCACAGGCTTCATTTAAAACTAGGTTGCGCAGAAGACAAGAACACACTTTTTTTGCTATCTTTAAACTACCATATGAATTTCTTTTCATATTAATTCTCTTTCCTTTTTAATAGGCAACTGATATCTGGCATGCCCATTTCAGTAGGTTGATTCAAATCCAGTCACAAACTCTCAAGTCTGCAACAGAAATTGATATATTAGCTGGAAACGTGGAAGCCAGTGGAGAACCTCTAAGTAAATACAGCTTTCAGTCTTATTCTTACTCAGCCAATATGGAGTCATTTGATTCTATTGTATTTTATCCACTATTTATTTTTAGGTGATTCTTAAGGACATGACATTTGCTTAGGCCAAATTCAGTCAAGTTTCTTTAAGCTATAACCACACAGATTTGAGGTTTTAATACTACCGTATAAAAAAAATATTTTCCACTGAAAATATTTCATTATTTACATTTTTCTTATTTCATTTTTAATGGATTTAAACTGAAATAAAAAAAATGGAATTACATCTTACATAGGCATGTATATAGCCTTTTATCTCCTTAAACAGATGAACCATAGTGTATTCCGTGTTAATCTATACAGTAATCCTAGAATAGTCATAGAAGTCCCCCCACTAGATACATGAGGCTGTATAAAATACTAGAAAGTCTACCATTTGTCATAGCGCAGCACTTGTAAGAGATGGATTAGACAAATGTATCTTTTCTTTTCTGTCTTGAACATCTATAGCTCTCTAATATTTGGAGAGGACAGGCTGATGTTTCAGTGTATTTTTGTATAGAATCACTTCCATTTGTTACAGATTACTGCAAAAATATGACACTGAAAGTGACAATTAGATACAATTATGAATAAATAGAGAATTTGTATGGAGCTCAGATTCTGCAAGTGTGGGATAGTTGCCTAGATGCATGGAACAGAGACAGCTAGATCATTTTATTTAGGTCTTCTTTTGCGACCATGTCCAGCATAAAATATTTGCATTCTCAAAGCAGGTGAGGCCCAGCAAGCTGAAGCCAGTCAAATACTGAATGCAATATTAGATATCAGAGAACAGGCCCCAAAACAGAAGCCTGATAAGATGGCCATCGTTTTGCATGCTCTTGCAATGCTTCATTACTTCACCATGGACTTACCAAAGGCAAGTTAAACCTTTTTTTATTCAGACAAATCACTTAAGAATTCTTTCTTGAGCCAATGCATAACTTCTATATATTCTGTTAAGTAGAACCATATTAAAAAGATCTCTCAGTACCTAAAAAATTATTTTTAAAAATAATTAGCACATGTAGACAGTGTTCTGGTTGCAAATCAAGTCACTGAGAAGTTATAATATTACAGGTTCAAGAGATGCCTGTGCTGTCTTAACTCTGCTCACCTGCACATGCCTTACTATACAGTCTAACTGCCTGATTACTGGCCACCCTTCTTCATTCATTGTGCAGATTGAATTATGTAGCTAGTAAGAGAAGGGTCCAAAATATGCATTTTCTATGATGTTAACAAGGATTCAGCCTACTGAAATCATTGGTTGACATCTTGAATACTTTGCTACGTTTACAGAGGTCCAAGTCAAACATATGGTAGGGCAGGGTGGCACTTTAGAGACTAACTAGTTCAGAGAGGCATGAGCTTTCACGGGCAACAGCCTCCTTCGTCAACATCGGATGAAGCCTCCAACACAGTAAGCTGCTGTCCACAAAAGCTCACGTGCCTCTGAGGCCAAGAGCTCAGCGGAGTTCAGGAGACTGGACATTGATGCAGGTAATGAGACCACCCACAAGGTGACCACCCACAATTGCATCAGAAGGGACTGATAATTTTAGTATGCAAGAGTCATCTAAGATAGATTCCGTGCGAGTCTGAGTTGGCTCAGCTGGGCTGCAGTCGCTGTAGCACGGTCTGATTACATCAGCAGAGTTTTGTCCAGGGTTTTTTAGGAGGGACATAAACTCTTGTTTCAGGGCATAAACAAAACACTGACTGCTAAGATTAGGAAGAAGCTTCCCGTATGGGGCAGATTCCTCTACAATTGCTCACTTCAAGGTTTCTTATGCTTCCCACCCCCCCAGGAGGATGTGTGGTCCACTTGGGCCGCAGGTCTGATGTAGTCTGACCATTCATAGGACCCTAAACATATATTTTTACTTCCCGTTGAGAAAAGGCTATAATAACTCCATAGCATTTATATCTTTTTTATTGTCATTTCAGGCTCATGAACTTGGGGTGAAAGCCTCTCTAATAACCCAACAATTGCAAAACCAAGACTTATTGGAAGATATTCGTTGTTTATTGAAGTTGATTAAATCCAAAAATGTTTCAATGTAAAACAAAGCACAGTTTGTTCCTCTAGATCCTACAGGTCTTCCGCTAGGTCATCTGTTCCAGTAAGTTTCTATAACCATGATGACAATGCATTATTAGCTCCTTGCTGCTTTGCTGTTATTGTTTGGCCTCTCTCTCTGGAAATGTTCCCTTTCATCTCAGTTTTTGGGGTGTTTTTTTAATTAAAATTCTACTTCATGCCAGTTGTGTACTGTTCCTATATAACGGTCAATTTGATTTTATCTGGATGGTTGTAACAGATATAATAACGCAGCAGGGTAGGAAACAAGAATACAATCAAAGCAAGATTAACGACTGCAGAAAAGATGCCTACCTCATGCTCCAAGTACACAAAACAGACCATCATGCAGTCCCACATTATTCTTCTCCTCTGAAGAGTTCTTACCCCAGTGTGTATTTCAGTAGAGATACCACTTCCCCCCTCCCCTCGCAGTGTCCTGACTTACTTCTTTCTAACATGCTTAGTGAGATAACGTGGAGGGTGGGTCTAACAGGTCTTTGGGTCTGGACAGAGGATATGATTTCACTGCACAGTTAAGCTAAGTGAGCAGTATCCACAGCTGTGTACGTCCAATGCAAAGCAAGCCCTACCTCTATTTGTACTACTGTTTTGCACTTGCCTCTGGGGCATCCGTCCTGTGTTTTTGTGCCGAGATGTTCCAGGATCCTTCCCCTGTTGTATCCGTTGTGGGACAGTCCCCAGCAGCAGTGGAAAGTCTCCAGAGTACTATCAGTACTCAGATGATTCAGCCTGCATCCTCACTGCAGAGGACGTCGGTTTACATCTGAGCTAAAGCAGAGCTTGAGCTGTAACCCACACTCTCAACCCCACAAGCTACCCTGGACTTGAAGTACCTCTTAGCCCTCTCTGTTCCCATTTCTCCCTAGTGATGCTTCTGTGAAGCTCCCTGCTGAAACCTTTTGGCAAAGTATCTCAGGAAGAGTCAAGAAGCGCTTTAGGCTTTTGCAAGAGTGAGCACATTGGCATTTGCCAGAAATAGATGAAACTCGCAGCTCTCATGCTTGACAGCATAGAAATATCACTGATCTGGGAGAGGGATCAGGGTCTCCCTGTACTCTTCCGTATGTGCCACGTAAGAGCAGCACGCAGTAAAGTAGATGCATCATGAGGATGTGTTATATGCACTCTTTATTATCCAGTACAGGCCCTCTTGGAAACCTGGCTACTGGATTTGCCTGGTGCAGTGGGACACAGAGGTAGCAACTAGATAAAACCCTGGATTCTTACCAGCAGGGAGGGCATTTTTACCTCTCATTTAAGAATGGCATCTTCCCAGGGGTTTATCAGCAAGTTCAAATTCAGCCTTTCAGCAGCCACTAGGGGACAGCACATTTTAACCTTTAGCAGGTGCTGCCTTTAAAGGTGTCTCAGTCATGTTGGATGTTTTTCTTAGACAAAGTTTTTCCAAGACAGTGATTTGTTAATCAGAACAAGGAATTGCTAATTGGACCATTTGCCGAGAGGCTCATGTTAGAGCATCATTAGGAAACTCCCTAGCGGATGTCCTTAATTGGAAATTACACCAACTTTTCTGGGGCAGAGCACACGCATAGTGCAACATGGCACTCGGGCGGGGGCACAGAGCTTGAAAATCCACTTGGCCGAGCTGAGCTAGAGTCTTTGCTACGCAAGGGCACAATGCGGCTGGGTTGTGCTTGCCAAGGTTCTGCTTTTGCAGGTTGCAGAGAAAGCTGCTACCTGCAAACAGGATGTGCCCAGTGCCATTCTACCTGTCTGAGTCCACACAGGGACCTCAGTTGCCACCTAGGTGTTTCTACGGGCCGATATCTATCCCCTACCAGACTTCCCAGAAGGTACCAGGGTCTCTCTTCAGCTGCTCTGTACTTTGCTGAATTAAAGCAGAAGGAAAGCTTGCTCTGTGTCCATTTCACTGGACCCTGTGGAGCAGAGAGCTCAGGCCCGGAGGTGGAGGAGGGCTGGAACTTGAGGGTTTTAGCAGCTATGTGATGGAGGAAGGGTTGGAATAGCAGATGGGCGACAGCAAGATGAGAGAACTGTTGAAGTCTTTTCCAGACAGGCATGGCATGAGGAGTTCTGTTCCTGGCTCTGGCACTGACCTGCTAGATGACCATAGGCAAGTCACTTCATCTCATTGTGCTTCAGTTTCCCTGTCTGTAAAGGGGGACGACTGTGCTGACTTCCCTTCTAAGGCTGCTGATGAGAATATAGGAGTGGTAGGTGGCAAGGGGTGACGTGATCTACCAGCCACTTGAACTCCAGTCAGGACCCCCAGCTAGAGGCCGACCTACTATGAGGCCCGAGGTGGGATTTCCACCCCCCAGCTAGAGGCCGACCTACTATGAGGCGGGAGGTGGGATTTCCCCCCCCCCACCGCCATGTACAGCTAGGGTACTTACTACCAAGGGAAACTCCCCCCACCACAAGACGATACTTACCTAGTGGTCACGACACCCCTATTTGAGGTCTGTGTAAGAGACACTTGCGTATAGAGCACAACCCGAGGAACGACGGCAGCTTTCTGCTGCTCTGCTCCCGAGCAGACAGGAGCTGCCCTCTCCTGCAGCCCCACTGCAAGGAAGGCACAGCTTAGGACTGGAGACTCGCCACTGCTATACAGAACCGTTTGGGTCTCCATTTAGAGACTCCTCAGCTGTTACATATTAGCCTTGTTCCACTGAAGCCTGCTGTAATCCTGGGCAAACCAGTATTTTGTACTTAAAGGGAAAAAAAAAAAAAATCTCTGTATTTAACCACTCCTCTCTTACCAGTCTCTCCCAGGGCCCTCGCAACCCCATGCAGCGATGTGGCCCAGGCCCTGGGCGCACTAGCTAGAGCACCCCCACTGCACAGAGCTCCCAGCCTCAGGGAGTCACATGCATCAGCCCTTGAGGGCCACCTGCCTCCCCTCACCCACTGCTGGCTTTGCAGGTGGGTAACACACTTACAAGAAGCCCAAACCCCTCCCAGTCCCCACAGCCCTGCCAACACCTACCCCTGCACTGGCTGGCTCCTAGCAGCCCGCAGTCTCAAGAGCTCTTCCCACCACAAGCACCAAGGCCAAACTAGCTGCTTTGGCTCAGCAGCCAAGGTTTATAGCCCCTGAGCTCCACCCCTTCCAGTCATGTGCCCTCTGCCCCGCACAGACCCTTCCCCTTTCTTACCCAGTCTGCTCTAACGGGCTGCAGCCATCGCCCTCTGACCTGCCTGTGGCCCTGCCGTTAGCCTCCCCCGGCTGCTCCTGCAGCTGCCCCTACCTTGGCTGCCTGCACCAGGCTGCAGCCCTCTAGTGCTGCCTTCCTGGTCTCCAGCAGCAGGGCTTAGGGGGGACCCTGCTACATTTTGACGTGGCTCCTTCCACGTGGAGACCAATGTGACTTGCACACGTAGACTGTAGATCTTAAACTCCCGGCACCTGAAGCTTCCCCATAAGTCATGGGCCAGGTGGAGGGGAGCATCGGAGGTGGCCAGATGTGATGCTGGCCACTTTGTCTCCTGTTATGTGGCCAGTTACAGAACTGGTGTCCCTTAACCACTCTAGTCCAAAGGGCACAGCTTAGGCACAGCTTTGCTTGCCTGGTTTCTGCTGTGCAGAGTCCTTGGTCCCTTCCCAGTTTCCCCCTTACACCAGGTGCATGCACTTTCTGCTGAGCTGAAAGTGCCTGCGTGAAATGCAGGGCTGAGGCATGAGTGGCTGCTGGGCGCCGGTCTCCCCAGGACCTTGGCCAAGCCTGGGTTTGCCTTTCCCTTGAGGGACCAAGAAGGAGAGATCACAGGTGACACCGGGGTCTGGCCAAGGGGAGATCGCTCTGGAGTCCAGACCTGAGGTTGAGCCCAGGTCTCCCGTGACTAATGTGGTGCATGTTGCTGTCGTCCTTGTCCCTGTCCAGGCACCTTCCCACGACAGGCACTCACCTGCCTGCTGCAGGAGAGGGCTGGGAGGGTTGCATGGCACGGAGGAGCTCTATTCCCCCTTGTCAGGGAAGCTTCGTGTTTGCCCTTTCTCTCGCTTCCTCCCCAACTGTCCAGGAGGTCAGCACAAAAGGCATCTGACCGCTCGGCAGAGGACGTAACAGCCAGCTCATCATCTGCTGCTGTGGTCTGCAGCAGGTGAAATATTAAGATGCTGGGAGGGAACATAGCCCTGGCCCCTGGCTTGTATTAACCCATAAAGGAGCTTGTGCTCCGTGCAGCACAGATTGGAGAGGCAGGGGGGCAGTCAGCTCTTGCCAGAAAAGCTGCAGAAGAGTGGGGACAACATCTTGTGCCATTCACTGCAGGTGTCAGAGGTCGGCACCCTACAGCCCACAGGCTCCAGCCCAGGAAGGATTGGATCCAGCTGTGGCAGCTCAGGGACCCAGGACCGTGCTCCAGGCACAGCTGCGAAGGAGGCCTCGCCAGGGCCCGGGTTCCAGATACCTCTGCAGCAAGTGCTGGCCCCGGGGGAGGAGGTGGAGATCCATGGCCTGCAGCAGGGGCCGGAGAGTGAGCAGTGGCCCATGGCAGCAGACTGCCCACCCGTGGGAGGCCGCTCACCGTAGTTCCCTGAACACCCTGGCGTGGGAGGGCAGCCTCGTCTGCTGCTGCAGGGCAGGCAACTATGTCTGGCTGCAGGCTGGAACCACCCAGCCCGGGTCAGAGGCAGGACCTGGCCACCGCTCGTCTCCCCACAGCCAAAGGCCCCCACCACCAAATGCCGAAGCCCCAGGGCAGCAGGCTGGATCCAGCGGTCCATCCGCTCTTCTACTATCCTTGCCCCAAATGCAATGTGCCCTACTGAACACATTTGCTTTCAAACCCAGACCTCCAGCACAGTCCCAGCCCAGGGACAAGCAGGGTGCCGGGGCAGGGGCCTCTCGCACCCGGCAGCAGCTCAGAGAAAGGCCATGTCCAGCACTGGGGGGAAGGTATTTGGACCACCAGAAGTGCCCAAAACATCAGGTGCTGCTAGTGCAAGGCTAGAACTTGTCCAGTGCTGAAATAAATCCACGCTCGAGCATGCTGGGTCTCTGCATACATTCTTTATTATTTCCACACCACACACGGTTCCCCTCTTGCTCTTGGCACTTATCTTTCTTTCTGTCGTTTTTTTTTTTATAAAAAGAGTTAGTCTATCGGTCTCTGTGCCGCACTCGGAGATGCGCTTTGTTTTTTTTCTACATTTATTTTCTTTCAAGTGTGGTCACATAGTCACTTTAAAAACAGACAAAATAAATAAAAAAATACTATTAAATAGCTGCATGTGGCTTTGGAAATGTGCCATTAGTTTCTAAAATATATGTACTGTGGGGGTTTGCTTTTTGTTTTTTAAGGACAGTATTGTTGTGTTTTAATATACTAACAGACTAAAATTCAGTGCAACAGATGCAACTACAGTGCAGGTGACTATATAAAAGTCAATCTATTCATGTACAAGCCTTTCCTTACAGTTGCTATAGAAACTAGACCATTGTATCTGTACCTTTGTTTCCATTATACAACGTGAATATAGTTCAAGAATATTTACAGTACTTTGCCGGTCAATCAGAACACTATAACTTAATGTCTACTATCAACACCATTGAACAAAAATATATATATAAATATCTTCCAGTCTATACACAGAAAGCAGGAAATGTATGTATCCTTTTAACCGATGAATGTCTGTGCTGCGGAGACTTCCAAGGTAGTGACTGGGCTAGCTGTGTAGTGTGGTGTTACCAGCCAGGTCCTTTCACCTCAAACTGGCTTGCTGCACCCTGTAAACATATCACTTCTGCTTCTCAGAAAACCTCCAACCCAGGAAAGGCAAAGGCTGCTCCTGGCGGGAGCCGCGCCAGATCGGATTTCAATTGTGGAGTCTTTTTTCTATACAGCGCGCCGGAGGCCTGTGCTTGGCCCTGCTGGCACGCAGTGCCCCATTTGACCTATCAGGCAAATATTGCCAGATTTAAAAAAAAAGTAGTCAGTAATTTTACCCCCAAAAGGCTTCCCCACCCAGACTCCACTCCTCCAACCCCTGGGAACGAACTGGCTAGTTTGGGTGGGGGGAGCGAATGAGGCCGGACACAAGCTCCGCGACCAGAGGAGCTGAGATGCTGCTATGAGACCGTGCACCGCGGGGAGTCTGGGGGTGCGAGACCCTGAAGGCAGGGCCCTCACGACCCATCCCTGGCAGTGCTGCAGGCTGCCTGCGCTCCTCCTCGGGGTCCAACTATCAACCACCGGTGCAGGCAGCAGGAACGTGTCCACTAGCCGTGTGCACTCCTCAGCCCCCCTGGACCCGCAGCTTCCTATTCCTGGAGTTTCGTTCCACAGCCAACCCGGGGGCTAAAACCTTAGACTGCTTTTTAAACCACAACTTATTTAAAATCTGTTTTTTAAAAACGTAAATGATGTTGTTTTTCCTGTGATTAGAACATTAAAAAGTTTTGAACTCTAAAAACTTTTGCCGTTTGTTTTCTCATTAAATAACCGGTCATTTCTTTCAAATGAGAGCTGCCTTCCTGTCCGCGAGGGCTGGAAAGCATTGCTTGGTGTATATTAGCTGCTGCATCTGTTTCTATCGGCTTTGAAATCCTGGACATAAAACAAGCTAAAATCATTCCTAGCAAAGGGATGTCAGTTTGTCTCTGATAAACCAGGTGGCTGGTGGGGGACTGGAGATGGAGCAAATGCACAAGACCCAAACATCCCACTCCCTCCTTCCTGGTTTCTGTACAAGTATTTAAAACGCTCAGGAGAGAAGAGAAGAGGCTCAGAGGAGACGGACCAAGCCCCTGGCTGGTTAGACCTGGGAGTCAGCCCCCAAGCTGTGGAACTCATCCGGCGTCTTGTCGCTCTGGCTGGCACCTCCCTGCCGGAAGCCAGAGGCAATCTCATCGAAGGTCCGGCCTTTCGTCTCAGGCACCTTGAAGTAGGTGAAGACGAAGAAGAGGACCAGCAGCACAGTGAAGATGATGAAGACGTACGGGCCGCAGAGTTGCTGGAAAGAAAAAGCCAGGGAGCGGTGAGTACATTGTGCAAAAGGGGCACGGGGAAGCAGTGATCGGCTTGGGGTGTGCAGGTGCAGGCTGCAGAGGGATCTAGTAGCCTGGACTGACAAGTGTCATCGGTCTTACAAAGCCCCGGCACTCTGCTGTGTGTCCCTGAATGCTACCCATCTACTAACAGCGCCTGCAGATGGGTAGAGCAGCCTGGCCACGTGCCGCACGGGCACTTTAGATCACCTCTGCTCCCCAGACCAGGGCAGCGCACCCCAAATCCAATCGGGAGCAGAGGGCTGGGAAACCACTCTGCCTCTGCACCGTGCGCTTGGTGGTGCCAGCCTGGTCCCGACTAAGCTTCCCTTCTCCAGAGCTGAGCATCTGTTCCTAGACCTAGAGGGCCACGTGCAGACCCAGCCTTGGGGTTAGAAGGGCACTTGGAGCAGCTTCCAGATTCAGATCAGCTCAGCAACATCCTCACCTGAAGCCCCCGTTTATATGCACAGAAAACGGCTCCCTTGTTCTGAGGGCATCCCCATGCTGTGCTGAGCCCAAGCCAAACCACCCTGAGACCCCGGAAGAGCTGATGTAGCTGCTCATCAGGGCAACGCGGTGCTCTCCTGACGGAAACGCGCTGGAAAGGCTGGGTCTCCCTGCCTTGCCGGGGAGAGTCCCAGCGCTGAAAGGATTCTCACCAGGTGCCCTGGCCTGTCTCTTGGCTGGGTGAGCTTGAGCAGCAAAGCAAGACTAACCAGTGGCTGTGGATGAAATTCAGCCAGGTTCAGGGAGCCTGCCCAGAGGATGGGCACCGTGGAAAGCCTTTGAGCAGGCAGTGAGTGCCACAGCCCCTAGTTCCAGCTACAGAAAACACCCACGGCTGTGCTGAGTAGCTCGCTGCAGGACGGAGGCGGAGAGGAAGGGGGACAGCAGGTCTCAGCTACACTGCTATGCAGAAGGGCTGGGTTTGGCTTTTGACCTTGGACAAGGCGTTTAGCCTTTCCTCTGTAAAGCTCTTTGGGTGAAACAGAGCTAAGCAGCATCGCTCTAATGGCACAAAAGTGAACAGCAGCTAGAAGTGTTGGCTGCTGCTCCTTCTACCTTGGTATAAGCCCACAGAAACAAGCAGCCCAGGAGCAAGCAGGAAGGACCCAGAGAACTGCCTCACGTGAAGCCTGCTCACACCAGTCCGGCTCTGGACCTTGAACGCTAACGAGTCCCCCAGAGCTCCAGCCGCGGCTGCAGCCGAACAGGCCCCATCATCAGGCAGCGCTTGCCAGCCCCTCTGCGCGCCGGCTGCTCAGAGAGAGAGGCCCAAACCAAAACCCCAGACAGGAGCAAAAGCCAAATCCAGATCTGGATGCAGGCTCCAAGACTAGCCCCACCTGCAGTTCACACGTCCACATTTCCAGCCCCCCTGGAGGCACTGAACTGCCCACGTGGCTGCCACCAGCCCCATCTCCACAGCACGAGGAGCCCCGGACCCCCGCACGAGAGCAGTTACCTCAATGTACTGGAAGCTCATGCCCACAAGGAAGTTCGAGGTCCAGTTGGATAAACCCGCCACGGCGAAGGCAGCAGGACGAGGGCCCTGGCTAAACAGTTCAGCCACAATAAACCACGGGATGGGCCCTGGACCAATCTCGAAGAAAGCCACGAACCCGAAGATGGCGACGATGCTGATGTAGGACATCCAAGCCATTTTTTCCTAGGTCAGGGCAGGGAGAAAAGGACATTGTTGTTTCCAAACAAGCTGCACGTTTCTGTGACAAATGGCCGCCAGCAGCTTCCCACCGGCTGGGTGATGAGCTGCAGCGTTTGGCAGGGCCAGAGGCACGTGCTGGGTGTGGGCAGAGCAAGGCCCTGCCTCTGCAGCAGGGAGCACAGCTGTCCCAATATTACTGTCCTCCAGAGCTGAGACCCTGCCAAGCCATGGACTCGTGGCATTGGCATGTGCAGCTCTGCCACATCCCGTGACCCCTTGGGAAGGGCGTCCCCTTCTGCTGGCTCCCTGACCCACCGCCTAGGGGGGAAGTCCACAGCACCCCTTGGCTCTCGGCATGTGGCGGTAGCCCAGGGTTTGTGCCTGCAGAGCAGTTTTCTGGAGCAGTGACTCACCAGCAGCACCAAGGCAATGGTCATGAGCACGGCACAGCCTCCCATCCCTGCCAGGCCAACCAGGTGGAGAGTCCTGCGTCCAGCCCGCTCCACCACGAAGAGCTGCCAGGAAGAAGACGAGCACTCATTACAGCATGGATAACCCTTGCTGCGGACCTGCATCACGCTCTGCCCTGAACCTGTCTGTGCTTCCCAGGCAGGTGGCAGTCCAGAACAGGGCAAGGCAACCACAGCATCAACAGCCCCAAGATGCTAATGTGGTCAGGGTGAAAAGCAAACAATGGGCAAGGCACGGCAACGAGCAATGCCAGGGGCCTGGGACATAACGATGGGTGCAGCAACGAGGGGACAGGCAGGCACACAGCAGGCAGGCGTTTGGCCTGCGGGTGGAAGGGAAGTCGGTCTTCAACGGGAAGTCCAGTGGAGATGAGGTCTGTCAAGCGAAGGGAGGACTCCTGCTCCGGTGGCAGAGGGAGGTGAGGAGAGGAGAGGAGAGGAGAGGGGCTCAGCCAAAGGTTACCATTCTCTAAGGACACTTCACAGGCAGACTCTTGCAGAACGGAGAGCGGCGGGCTTATCGGCAGAGTCCGAAGGCCCCGCTCCACTGCTGTTTTTCACCATGTAGCCTTGGGAAGGGGCAGTGGGGGCAGGAGGGGCTTGACCTCTCAGGCCATTAGCTGTATGATCTCAAAAAACTGAGATCTCTGGATAAAACTGCTGTAGTACTGCTAGGTATGGTCATGTTTGGGCAGATTCTTGCTCTCAATGGGACTTGCTTTTGTCCAGACCTACACTAGCACTGCCCTCACTGTGATGAGTTGTGGGCAGGCAGCGGGAGGGGAGGACTGCACAACAGACACTCACCGAGACAACCGTGAAAGCTGTGTTCACCACCCCAGAGCCGATGGTAGCGTAGACTGGCTGCTGCACACCTGACTTTTCAAAGATGCTAGTAGAATAGTAGAAAACCTACAAAACAAAGCAACATCCAGTGAGCAAACCCAGCAGGCACCAGACGAGGGCTCCTTGGAGCTGGCCTGGGCCAATTCTGGCACTGAGCCCGCACACCCTCAGCAATCAAAGCCAGTTGTGCACATATATACAGAAATAAATGATAGGGGGAAAACTGCAGCTGAGCCCGTCCTGGGCTCAGGGTGTGCAAAGCATTAGTGCCACGGGTGCAGTGACAGGAGCGATGCTGTCCGGAGCAAGGCGCGTGGTCAAGTGGGCAGGGCTGTGGGCAGGAGTTCTATTCTGGGAGCCGCGGTGTCCCCGTGTGACTCCAGACAGGCCCCTGGGCGGCTGCAGAACGGGCAGGCAGGCTGCGAGCCACCTTTGCAAGGGATCTGCCAGCACAGCTCACTCACTGCATTGATCCCGGAGAGCTGCTGGGACAACTGGAGCACGATAGCAATGAGGATCGGCTGCCGATACATAGGCGAGCGGAAAAGCTCCATGATGGTGACCTTCTTCTCCCTCATCATCTGTCGGCTCTCTTCCTTCATCTCCTGGAGGTCGCTGCTGACGTCCGTCGTCCCCCTGAGCTTCTTCAGGACTGTGAGGAGCGGGGAATGGAGAGGTTAGGAACAGCGAGGGGCCCAAGCCCTGGGACAGTGTCATAGGGCTGGGGAGACTCACTCACCACTCTTGGCCTTGTTCTCCTCGTTGCGGTTTATAAGGAGGAACCTGGGGCTTTCTGGGGCGAATGGCAGAATGATGCACTGCATCAAGGATGGGAGAAAGGTGAAGCCCAGCAGCAGCGGCCAGAGCGAATCGTTCCCCATGATCACGTCCAGACCGAACACCTGCAGAGACAACCCTGGTTAGCCACGCAGCGTGCCTGGCTCCACCACCCCTTCTTTAGTTAGAAGGCTAATGGAGAGCCGTGTTGTGTCATTGTCAGGGGCACAACACCGCCCCAGCTGCAAAACCAGGAGCTGTAGACAACTGACACAAGCATCAAGTAACGCTCACACATTCGTCACCCCAGCAGGAAGATCCTGGATCACACTGGCTCCCTGATCCCCTGTGCACTGCCAGGGAACAATAGTGCATGCAAAGCCCACTGCATGCTCCGCCACCAGACTCATCTTCCCCTACAGGTCCCAGACCACATAGGACTGGGAACTCTGTCATTCCCCCCGTGCACCAGGCCATAATGAGACCATGTGGACAGAGCTCAAGAACAAGAGCTCTCCAGAAGGCCAGGATACTAAATAGTAAAGACAAATGGAGCAGCATTACAGCTGCTTCACTGGAGGGGAAGTGAACTTCTAAGAGATTAAATGACTTGCCAAAGGACAACCCAGCAAGTGTGTAGCACAGCAAGGAGCTGGGCTGTTATGTAAACCTCTCTGTCTGAGAGCACCTACACCCATTTCGGCTATGGCTGAGGAAAACTTCAGCTGCTCACCAACTCAGAATTACCCAGGCAAAGCATCCGGGCCCGTTGGAAGTGGTACACCTGCCAGTGACAGACAGGACCGTGCAGCAGCGGGTACCTTTGAGAAACACTCACTTGTGCAATAAGGATGCCCACGACAATGCCAAGCTGGTGGAAAGTTCCAAGAGCTCCCCGAAGCTTTGTGGGGGACACTTCACCCACGTACATGGGCACGAACCCAGTGGTGAGACCAGAATACAGCCCAATGATGAAGCGGCCAAGGATCAGCATCTCGAAGGAGTAAGCTATCTTGGAGAATCCCATCAGGATGGCCGCCAAGAAAGCGAGAGCGTTGGACATCAGCATGGAGTTCCGTCTGGGGAAGAAAGGTTTTGGAGGAGGTCAGACCAGCAGCACTGCAAGCGTGGGCAAAGCTGCATCCAAGAGGTGCCACTAGGCTGGTTAAGCCAACAGCTTAAGTTCTTGGTGGAAAGCAGAGAGGACAGTTCCCAAAGCCTAGTTGTGAACTGTAAGCATAGAAAGAGTCAGTGAGGCTCTGGCCAGTGCAGAACCTGTGTATGAGAGAGAGCAGGACGGAGAAGCTGGACATGACATCGAAAAGACTGTTCCCCTGAGCAAGAGGCACAGAAGGCAAAAGGGGGTGAACAGATCACAAAGGGCCAAATAGCTCCACTTGCTTTCATGGAATCACAGACATTGAGGGCTGGAAGGGAGCTCAGGGGGTCCCATCTAGTCCAACCCCTGCTCCAAGCAGGACCAGCCCCAACTACAGCATCCCAGCCAAAGCCTGGTCTAGCTGGGTTTTGAAAACCTCCAAGGATGGAGACTGCACCACCTCTCTGGGGAGCCTGGTCCAGTGTGGAACCTCAACCTCCCTTGCTGCAGCCTGAGCCCATTGCTCCTTGTCCTGTCACCTGCCCCCACCGAGAACAGCCCAGCTCCATCCTCTTTGCAGCCCCCCTGCAGGGAGGTGACGGCTGCTATTCAACCCCCCTCGGTCTTCCCTTCTGCAGACTCAATCAGCCCAGGTCCCTCAGTCTTTCCCCAGCCCTCAAACCATTTTTGTTGCTTTCTGCTGGACTCTCCAATTTGTGCACATCCTTTTTGTGGAGAGGGGTGGGAGGGGAATACAAAACTGGACCAAACCAGTCATTTCTCAAAGGACTGCTTGCAATGATCTAAGACACTGACAACAAGCAGAGTCTAGCTGGTGGGTCTCATCTGCCTCCCCTGTGATGTTGAAGCAGAGAACGCTCCTGGTGCTGGGAGCGCACGGGGCTGGAATACAAGCAGGACTCAACAACGAGGAGGGACGAACTCCTGAGCTCCTCCGCCTTTATCTAATGTGCACGCAAGACACTGTGCAGCCCTGACGAATACAGACACTGGGTCTGTTCACTGAGAGAGACGATGCTCCCCTTCATGAGGTCTCTCAACAGATGTTGCCCTGAGGACCAGAACAGAGTGCAGCTTTACTTGACATGAATGGATTTCAGACTGCAGAGAGCTGGAGAGGCGCTCACGTGGGACAGACTACAAACGTTTGGTCTGGTGGACGGGGTTGTGAGCTCTGGAGCAGCCCCAGCCCTTGAGAAAACAGGAACAGGAAGAATCACTGGATCCCAAAGCAAATGGTGACAAATCAGCTGAGGGCTGGCTGTGCGTGCCGGTCGGTGGGTTAGGATTCTGTTCCTGCCTCTGGAAATCCCCACGTGATTGTGGGTAAGTCGGCGACTCTTCCTGCGCCTCAGCCTCTCCTTTCTGGCACCCACTGCATGCGTTTCACTTGCAGACACCTGAGCACTGCCTCTGCTCTGCAGACTGAGACCAGGGGGAGGGGACCAAGCACGGGCAGGGGCAGGGTAGGGGCCTGGCAAAATTGCTCCTTTGCTCCGAGAGTCTGCGTCTGGCTCAGGAAGACCTCGAGGGAAAGGCAGTAAGAACTGGTGAAGTGGTGGGCCAGAGCAGGAGATGGCTGTGCTGAAGGCACTGGGCAAGGCAAGCTTCAAGGGGAGAAATGTGTATGCGTGGGGGTCCGGGAGAGAGGGGCAGCCCTCAAGGGAAGGTGAGATCCTGCCCTACCTCGAGGGAGTGGAGTGAGGGTGCAGACACTGCAGGGATGGATGGATGGATGGATGGGGCCACCGGAGCAGCTGGGCGGACAGGACGGCTCCAGCGTGCACAGTGCTTACCGGCCAAGGCGATTGACGAACAGCCCAACTGAGAAAGATCCAACCATCCCTCCGACCGAGAATATAGCCACGGAGAGGGACCACAGAGTGGTGAGGGTGGAGGGGGTGATGGGCTCCTGGTACCGATATAGCCAGGTCTGGTTGTAGAACTCTTCAATCACCTGCAAGGAAATCACACCCGTTAGCGGGAGGCACCGGCGTCTGCTCTTCTAGCTCTCCTCCACGGACGCTCAGCTCTCCGCAGCAGGCCAGCACAAGGCCAAGGTGACACACATCCCACTTTCCACCCACGAGCTACAGGGATGCGGCCACACTTCACTGTACCACGGCATGAAACACCCCTGCACGATGACCTCCCACTATAAATATAAAAACTCCAAAAACTGCAATATTACAGCAAAAAATAGCCATACGCTCATCCTTCTACTGATGGGGGCCCTACGTGCCCTGTCACTGCAGGATTCGAGTGCCTTGCCATTCGGGATGTATTCGCCGTCACAGGGCCCACCCTACCAGGCAGTCAGGCCCTTCAATGCCTTGAGGACACAGGCCTAGGTGAGTTCTAAGCCCCGTGCCCAGGTCCCGCGGGAGGCAAAATAGTCTTGCTGGAATAAGGAGCCCTCGGCAGGAGCAGACACAGCCCGGCCCTGCCAGACTCCAGCCGGAGGAGGAGAAAGTGTTTTGCAATAAATCGGGCAGAAAAACATGCCACTTGCAGGAACCGATCCGTGACCAGCCCATTCCTCTGCACTCTTCCTCCCAGCCCAGCCACTTCGCCCCAGAACCCAGACCAAAGGGTAGCCGAGGTGGGGACTTACGCAGCCAGGGCTTCCGCGGTAACGGGAGCTTGTGGGAAGCCAAAGCTAAAGCTAATTGGGGGTGGTTCTGCCCCATTTCATTCAGCCGTAAGCTGTCCTGGTTTAGATCTCGCTGTCCCCGATGTGGGATTAAGCAGGATTTGAAGGGTTGCGGATGGCAGCAGGATTAAAGGAATAGTCCTGCTGTGCTCTGCTCTGTGTTATTCGGTGCCTTTTCTGTGTCCCACCCTGGCCCCCCAAATTCCCGCACCCCCATGATGACTGAAGCGGCTCCAAGAGGTCCTCGGCACAGGGACACCAGCACAAAAAACTTCCTGGATATGTAGGTTGGAAAAACTCTTGGGCTGCATCCACGCACGGTGTGGACGTTTGGTTCCCCAGCGACAACTAGCTGCAGCGCGCCTTGGGCCATTGCTACTCGTCCCTGGGGAGCGCCTGTGCCACGCGCCCTCTGGCATGCAGCAGGTTACCCCAGGTGGGGTAGGGGAGGCTCGGGCCAGCACTGGGCTGGCTCCAGCAGCCTTACCTGGGGTCCTGGGGGCATCTTGGGGCTGCAGCAGTGACCAACCTGCCACGCGGAGCCTGGCTCGAGTGTGTCTCTGGCCGGCCAGGCTCCGGGTGTGAGCAGCGCGTGCTGCCCACGCGTGCGCTGCTCCGCTTGTTTTTTTGCGCAGGTGTTTTTGACCCCTGAGTATCCCACGCTGCTACCTTGCAGCACGGAGAACAGTTGAATGTGAGGTCTGTGGCACCGGAGACGTGTCGGCAGCACCACGGACCGCACGGCCGCTCTCACCTGCATGCGGCCTTGGAGGCTGCTCTGGGAAAGCCCTGCAGAACTGCAGCGTATTCTTGCCCCTGCAAACTGGACTAACGTGAAAAAGGAGAACTGCTGTCCAGCATTAGACCAACGTGCACAATGACCTTTAACCCCGGTGCTTGCCACAGCAATTAACTCCTGGTTCGTTACACTGCCTCCCCCTCCCCACCCCCTTCTGTTCCAGTTTCGATTCCATCTACACCTGCAAATGCCACAAATTCCCAGGCCTCGGCCCTGCCATCTACAGGCTCCAGGCTTCCTCCCAGGCATGGCCCATGTGCTCCAGTCACGCGGTTTGGCCTGTCTCCTCCGTGGTCACAAGCTGGTACGTCATGGAGAAAGCGCTCCGCTCAGACGGCAGACTGCTCTGCAGCTTAGTGGTGCCAACAACCCTTTCCCTCCGCTAGGTGGAAGTCACCAAACCAGTTTCCCTGAGCCAGGCCAGGCCGGCAGGACCACGGCTGCCCGGGAAGCGGCAGGTGATGTATGTGGAAATGCAGCCAGGCAGGTTCTGGTCTCGCCCTGCCCTGCTGACACATGACACATGCAGAGAGCTCAGAGGTTGCTGCTGTCACGAAGGGGGAAAGGTGAGGTTCCTCGCCAAGGGCGAGATGCTGCCCGAGGGGATCCAGCCTGATTAGGTCCCCCTGTCCGCTTAGGAGAGGCCAAGGACCTGCAAGTTGCCTTGGAGTTTCTTCCCTGCTTTATTTTCAGCACGTTTTGGCGCTGGAGCTGCTGGGGCTCGTCTTGCAGGGACAGAAGCAATGATTTGGACAGAGAAATGATCAGACTGCCAAATGCAGACTGTCACGTGTTCCTTTTCATGTCTCTGGCTCTCTACTTCCTTACTAAAGAAGTTTCAAACTTAAAATACTCAAGGCCTCACTAACAACCATCCTAACGGAGGAATGGGAACCTGAGCACGTGGCTTATTAATTAATGCTATAGTTGTGACCATTGCCTTGAACTTCTACAAAGCAAGACCACCAACATACTTCGACTGCCTCGGCAATATCCGTTGTCTGAAGTCGATAGGTGATAGTGTTCCTAAGTCATTTTGGTGCTTTGAAAAGGTCATTCTCTGGTCTCTAAGTGCCAGCTTAGGAAACTGTCAGCCTCCTGTTTTTAGAAAATGTTGGCTTGCGTTTTATAAAAGTTCTCACTATCTTTATTAAGTGCTGAAAGACTAATTTTCTAATATTAACAAGGATGCAATTTTGTTCTGAAGCCACAAAGGCTGGAAGTCATTGGCAAGGCAGCTGTTGCTAGACATACAGTTTTAGATCTACATGCTCCTGCCTACGCTCAGCATTTAAAACCGACTCTGTCCCACTGAAACGCACTGGCCTATTCCCATAACCAAAATGCACTTTTTGTCCTGGAAAAGCCTCGTTCAGGCTTTTGTGCTTCTTCTGAGGCAGCTGCTGAGGTCACTAATCTCCAAGCAAGTGTCGAGGTACGTAAGGCATGTGAGGGATCTGTGCTGTGCCCTGTTTCTAATGGACTGTCTCAGTAAAACAGGAGAGAAGGGGAGATTTTATGGGAAACCTGCGATGTAGTAAGATCTGAAGCCCTTTGACTTGCATCAGCACGTGGGCCATCCCAACCCCTAGGTCTGATAAGAAGAGTCAGGTGAGGGCAGCTGCTGGCAGACCCATGCAAAGCAAAGCCAGGCTACAACCCACAGCACACGTGGAAGGGCCGGGGGCAGAAGAACGTATCAAGGAAAGTGGGTGGGTGGATGGAGGTTGTTCCTGGAGGAGCCGGGAATGGCTGAGGACCAGACTGCGGCAGCGGCCTGGTGACGTGCCCAGGGGCTGGGTGAAGAGGCGTAGTTCCTGCATGGAAAACCCAGCCCGGGCTGAGTCACACGCATACAAATACAGCAAGCACCAGTGCTGGTTGCCAGCAACAAACCAGTTTTCTGAGCAGTTTAAACAGCCTCGGCTAAAGCCGGTATTTGGTAAGTGCCCTGCGTGCTCTTGCTGTGCCAAGCAGGGCTGGAAAGGAGTCACCGAGGGAGGGTGAGCCGCAGCCAGCTGTCCTGGGCTGGAGGCGCAGGCGCAGGCGCTGCTTGTCTGGGTGTGTCACAAACTGGCCTCCATTTACCAAAATGGCAAAGGCCGAGCTGCTCAGGCGCTGCCAGGGCACGGCCGGGTCCCACCACGCAGCCGTGCCAGGGCGACCGTGCTGTGAACGGTAAAGGCAGAGAAACAAAATTCCTGCACCTCAATACCAGGCACCAGTTTCTCTTCGGCGAACAGAGCGCGCAGTGCCCCTCTCCCTCCAGCTGTGCCAGACACTGTCGGCTCTGCCCGTCCATCCCAGCTCCCTCCACGCAACGCGCCATTGCCTGCGGAGGAGGGGGTCAGTGTCACGGGGCCACGACAGACAGAGCCGGAGGACCAGGTCCCTTTACTCACCCCCTCTGGGTGCTACATGGCGGGCTGCCCGCTCTTCACCCCGTGTCTGCGCTTCCTCCTGCCCGGCTCCTTCTCCCCCTGCGCTGCCCGGCTGTCGGGCTCCTGCTCCCCTTTCCCCTCCCCCAGCCTGCTGGTCCTCAGCCCCCCAGGGTGGCCCGGGGCAAGGCAAACCGGAGAAACGGGAAGTCTGCATGATAAGTGACTGGAGACGGCAACCCCTCCCATGTCCTGGTGAGCTCTTAGCCTGCATAGCAAACCCCTGGCTTCTCCTTGTCCTGCCAGCGCTGACGGCTGGGAAAGGATGCTTTTCTTCCTTGTACTCTTCAAAGCACTTGGGGAAGGATCGTTTTAAAAAATAATAATAATTTGGTTTAAAAACAAAATGTTTTAAGTCCCAAAAGTCTTCTCAATGAAAACCGAATATTTGACACCAGCAGAGTATTGTTCTATCATTTTTTTCTGGTTTGCTAAAAAGCCATTTTCCAACTGGAAACATTTCAACGGAAAATTTTCTGCCAGGGATTCTGCCCCCGCCAAACCATCCCGACAGATTTTGCTTGCGTGAGCAAGGAGCCGAACGGGGCTGGAGGGGACCACAGGAGGTCACGGTGTCCAGCCTCCAGCTCCGGGCAGGATCGTCCCTGGCTAGACCTGATCCTGCAGCTCTCTCTGCCAGTCCCCAGGGCAGATGACTTCACATATTTGCCAACATGCATCACCCCCGGCTTATCAGCTCAAACAAACAAACCACCACCACCCAGGAACGAGAGCAGGTGTTTAGGCAACGGAGGGTGGGGAATCTCTTGAAGAGACAAGGACCCAGGTATTGCTCTGCTTGCATTGCATAACGGGCCCATTTGGAAGGAGGAGAGACTTTGACTCTCTTCTCATCCAAGTTTTAAGCATTTTTGACACCCCAGCCCAGGTCGTTGGCTGGGGTACAGCAGGCACAGCCCCGCTAGGGTTGGCGGAGCAATGCTGACGTACAGCAGCTGTGGATCCGGGCAGCCACGTTTCCTTGTGTCACAGTCCAGGGGGCCAGGGGCTGGGTCTTCCTGCTCCTAGCGCCCCTCAGCACTGTGACTGTGGGCAGAGGCCATCGGATCCCTCTTCCTATACCAGCTCATCTTGCATTAGTAGCAGTAATGGCCATCCAGTGCTGGGGGGCCTGGTCAGCCACTGAAAGGAACCCAGGAGGCTGCAAGTACCCAGTCTGTCTGTGACAAAACCTGCTGTTTAAGAGGAGCAATTGCTCCAGCAGCTCTCCATGCTTCTGGCAAATCCTCTGCCCCTGCGGGTTGCTACAGAGAGCACCGCTAGGGCCCTGCACTGCAGCAGCCACTGCTCCGGAGTCAAGGCAAACTGATCACAGCTGCTTGGGAACACTACCCTGGGTGCGGGGCAGGCTGCTGGCACCCGGGACAGGCCACAGGCCAAGATCTTCCAAAAAAATTAAAAAAATAAAAAGGTTTGATGAATGTCAAGCTCTTGTTTTGTGAGCCTGAGCTTCCTGGAGCTGATGGCTGTGAATACCTCCATCCCCTCCCAGTGCTGCAGCCCTGGCCTCCCAGCAGCTGCTAACTCTTCCCAGCCCTCTCCCCAGGGATCAGAGCCCAAAGTTTTACCAGCTCCCCCTCCCCTGGTAGCCAAAGCGGAGCTCTGCGCCCAGCCAGGCTTGCTACACAGCACCAAGAGTGATGGGAACCCCTCGTTCCCCTTTCAGCCCTCAGCTTCCTGCTCCTCCAACCATGCAGCACCCGCGCAGGCCGACTCTGGGGCCACAGCAGAGCTGGATGGGCAGGGAAGAGGCTGGGGGAGGAGGAGACAGACGTAACACAGCAAAGACTAGGAGGGTGATTAACACCCGTGCCTGGTAAGTCCCATTTCCCCCCCTCCCTCCTGTACACAGTGGGCTGGCTCAGCCCTAACAGGCACCAGTACATCAAGACACCAACCCCTCCTGGTGCGGATTTCCAGGCAGGGATTACTCAGGATTACTCAAGGTTCCCACAGCCCTTTGTCCTTCCCCGGGGCAGGAGGCGGCCTGGCTTGCAGGAAACGGGCCCCGCCTGCCCCCGCATAACAGCATCGAGGGGCTCTCGGGGCAGCAGAGCCTCCTTGGACTTCACTTCCCAGCCCCTTTCTTTAGCGCAAGCGCATCTGTGGCAGTGACACAGCAGGAACAAACCCGCCAGCTACCTTTGCCCGGGTCCAGGGGCCAGTACAGCACGGGCTCTGCAGCCGCTCACAGCAGGCCTGTCTGGCTCCAAGACAGAGGAACGTTTCCCCCTCCTGGCCCAAGCCTTCCCCGAGGCATTTCCCGGGGCTTCTCTTGGCGAGGGCGAGGCTGGTGGAAGAGCAACTGTTGGCAACTTCCCTGGCCCTGTTATGCCATGCGAGGAGGTCTGTGCAGCTGGCCTGCCGAGCCCTCCGGTAATAGGATTAATATTCTTGCCATGTGAAGTCTACCTTGGTGTTTTTAATTATTTGGGATTGTGTGCAGAGGCTTTGATGTGTTAATTCTCTGCCACGCTGGAACGCTGGGTTCTTGGAGCCGACCTGCCGCACTCAGGTCCCCGTTTGTCCTTCTTCTGCCCAAGCACGGCCCATGGAGTCGCTGGCGGATAAGCAGGGGTCGCCAGTGTGTGGCACAAAACAAGAGCTTGCACAAGATCTCTAGGGTTATAACAATGGCACGACACCTTGTGCTTTGGGGCAAGGTGCCCGAGCTTTTTCCAAAGCAACCTCGAGGCCCAGGCACATGCAGGCTGGCACCTTGTCAGAACGTCCCAGCGCTCAGGGTCATGGAAAATAATGATGAGCAAGATTTAAAGGGAAAAAACTACTGTAGGGAATGGTGGCCAAACTCCTGTTGCCTGTCAATGGGATTCCCACCTTGCACCAGAGGCCTTTGGATTAATTTGAAAATCCACCACTCAGCTCACAGCGATAGAGGTGGTGGAATTGCAGCACCCGCGGAACAAGCCACCCAGCACAGGGCCCCGCGGCTGTGGGCTTCTCACTCAAAACACTGCTGTTCCCCTGCCCCCCACCCCAGATGCTCTCCCCATCTCTCTGGGGCACTACCATGTCCCCTCCTCCAGGCCCCACTGCTGGATCCAGGTCTCCCACATCTCAGATACAAACAACTCCTCCTGAAGCTGCAAGGAGTTATTTGTGCAGGGGGTAAATAAGGACCGCGGTGTGTAGTGGGTCTGGGTCCGACCTCCGCAGGCTGGTATGAATCAGGGCTGGCACCAGTGAAGCCAACAACCCCCTCCGCAGCAGTGCTTGCCACTAACAAGTCCTGCGCTGCTCTTCCCCTTCTCTGCTCATGCAGCCACAGAGCCAACATGCCAGAAGTGGACTGGCACGGAAGACGAGCCGAGTAGCATCCTTCCCCAACCCCGACTCCTCGGCCTGTTGGACTGCAGGTGAAATGAACCTGGATTTAAAACAGTCCCGTTCCACCGCAATCCTCATGCTCACAGCACACAATCGGTTCTCCCCTCCCAGCTTATTCAACCGTCTCAGCATGAGGATGCAGATCTGGGCCATGACTCAGCTGCCCAAGCATCCAGACACCTGATCTAAACGGGCAGCTTGGCAAGGGGAGGGTGTGGGCATTTGCTAACCAGCAGGCAGGAAGGTGTGCACACAGGGAAGGGCAGGAGAGGAGATGCTAAGGCAGTGGAAGTAATCGCCTCCCAGCACCTGGGGAAATCAGGTTACCTCCTGGCTGAGCAAGAGGCTCCACTCCCTGCTCCCCCTCCCGCTGCAGTCAGCTGCTTTCCAGGGGCTCCCCTGGCTCCTCAGGACTCGGTGGACTTTTGCTGAGCAGACAGAAAGGAGTCGGGGGGGAGCAGGGAGGGAGAGTGCTGCAGCTTCAGGCAGATGTTCGAAGTGTCGCATCCCTGGCCACCCTCCGCTAGCCCTGCTTTTGCAAACCCATCCATCACCCCCAGTACTGCCCTGCGCCTGGACTTTGCCTGCACTGGGCAAGTGTGAACTTGGCCTTTTCCGTCTGCCACAGAATAGGTGAGGGCTGCAGTCTGTGCAGCACTCACGGGGTGCTGCTCTTCCCAGCACCTGTTGTCCAGACCTACCCCGAGCTATGTTTTGACACCAATGCAGTAAGGACACTCGAGTCCTGTCTCTGTTACCAGCTCCACCATCCCCGTCTTCATGAGAATTGCATTCATGACAAAGCAGGTGCTCCATACCCGTGGGGACCAACTTTTTTGGCAGATGTGCCACAAATTAGTCTGTCTCTGCTCCCCCATCTATGCGTGACTGTCCACCAGCTCTTCTGGGGCTGGCTATTTTCATGTTTCCATGTGGACTACCAGGCTCTGCTGACTGCCCTTCCAGGGACAAGACTGCCTCCAAGGAAAGGTCAGCAGAGCCCATTTAGGAAAGGCTGAAATCATAGCTTAGATGTGAAATACCGCTAGGTTTGCTTGGAGCCCAGTTGTAGGCTACAGCTTCTTCCAGTGCTGACAAAGGCCAAACACCGACCGACTCCCCCAGAATTCTTCAACAGAACAGTACACGAAGAGGAAACTTTAATTCTCCTGGGAACTTCAGAAGCCAAATAACTGCCTAACAAATCTCATTAGAGCCGGTAAGCTGCCTAAGAGGATGTACTATTTTAGCCAGGCTTGGTGTGGGATTGCAGCACGCATGTGTTGTGTTACACCAATGGATATGTTAGTGTGTGTGCGTGCACGCATGTACGTGCCCATGCACACACATGCCGTGGCAGTTTGTTTGCTAATGTGGTGTTGTGCTAGAGTGCAATAACCGACTATCAGGTTGCAGTGTGCAATGATCATGTTGCAATAGGTGTACACTCTGTCTTCCAAGAAGCATGTGCACGCATGTAGTCCGCTTAGGGGTGCTCTGCAGACTATGAAGGCAGCGGGATGTTTGGACGCGCACCATCTTTTGCCCCTTACCTTCTGTGGAGCATTGATGACTCCGGTGTTGTAGCCAAACTGTAGAGAACCCAGCACAGCTC